AAAAAAAAAAAAAAAACAAGCTGCAAGTTCAACTGAATGTCTCACCAGCTTCGAATCGTGTCTTCCAGTCTTTGCTGTTGAAGTTGGTGTTGATGAGGCTCCAGAAGATGTCGGCCCCGTGGGACAGAGAGAGGGCATGGAGGAGCTGCGGCACAGCCAGAGAGGCCAGCTGGCAGAACTCCGACTTTAGCATCGACCACAGGCTGAAAGACAAAAAACACCAGAGGCAAAAATGAGCTCCRTGGACAGGCTCAAAAAGAGTTCCAAGAACACCCCCCTCTTTTCTTTTGTTTACTACACACACCAAGGGATCAGCATCTTCTCCTGGATGTAGGCTAAGAACTGGGGGTGATCTTTACGAGCGAGGTACAGACACTCTCCATGGAGACACAGGATCTTCAGACAGTTCATCATGTTGAACAGAATGTCAGGCTCCTCAAACTTGGACATTTCCTGATGACAGCAGAGAGTTGCATGACTGGCAAAGCATATCTGTGTGTTTCTTGTCCTTTTGTTCCTCAGCTTTGTCATTCAGACGTTCAGAATACAGCAACTACCTGCAGAATGGTGTATATAAGCTTCAAAGACACGGGGAGCTGCTGATAGGAGAACTTCTTGTCAGTATTATTTTTCATGGCTACAAGAAAGAAAAGGAAATATTTGTTGAAATTACAAAAGCAAAACCAGCTTGTACAAGTGTACAAAATACTCCAAAAACCACAACTTTAAAGGGGAGGTATTATGCAAAATCAACATTTTGAGCTTTATATCATGTTATAATGTCAAAACGAGTGTTGCTTTGACTCRTTCATGCATGTTTGAGAAATCCTTGAATCTCCTCTGGTAGCCATGTGGAGCTGCCTAAACACTTCCTGGTACAAAGCACCGCCTATTTACACATAACTCCTCCCTGGAGCTCAGTCAGCAGCTGAACTCCCACCCCCATAGAGCACCACACCCTCAAAGTATTGTTGTGAAGACGTGCCTGAAGTGGGAGTGGCTGAAACAGTAGGAGGTTCTTAAACAGACAAAGCCTAATTTCAAGGCGTTTAGATAGACTATGATGGAAAGTTAAATTTATTTCTGATACATACAGTATTTTCATAACAACTGATGGTAACAGAGTTGCTTGATAGATTAACCAAAAACTGTACTCAAGTAAGATTAGCACTATTTCAACAAATTTTTCCTCAATTGAAGGTAAAACGTAGCCATCCAAAAAATGACTCAAGAGTAAAAAAAGTATTTGGTAAAAAGGCTTACTCAAGTACTGAGTAACTGATCAAGACATCAGTCATTTAATATTTAAAAACTGCATCATCAGGCAGACCAAAATATAAAGCTATGTGGAAATTTGGGTCTTTTGAAGATTAAAATGAAAATAATTCATATAAATAACATAATTACAAAATAACAAATTCAGGCAAAATAGAATTTTTTCCAAATCAGATTCTTTCAAAAGAACATTTATGAAACTACTGCAGGGGTGCGTCTGTGTCTGGTGATTTTTCTTTTTTTGTTGCTGAAAACAAGCTTGTTCTTCATTAAGTGAAGTTACTCACAGTGGGTAGAATATCCAGCAGTTTTAGTCACGTGAGTTTCGATACTTCGTAATAAAATGACTCAAGTAAAATTAAAGTACAACGTAGTAGAAATACTCCTAAAAATGTATTTTTCCCCCATTTTTTTAGTGGTATAGAATTGAACTATGTGCCTGGAAAATGCATAATACACCCCACCCCCCACCCACCCCCAATAAAGAATTATTACAAATGTACGTTTAAACTATAAAGTGATGCACACATGTAATGTCAGGAGACGTGTTGTTGGGGTTTTCGGTGTTTGCTTCATTCGGGTTGTCTCCTTCTTCACTTTCGATCTCCGTGCCGAGGGAGAAATCAGTTTGAGGCGTGAGCAAAGTTTCCTCCAAACAATCCGTGGGCTCCTTCAGAGACAAAACGACATCTCAGTGTGATAAATTACTTCAAACAAACAAGATGTCTTGGTACAAAGTGTTTATATATAAAGAAGCTACCTGTCTGATAATAAAATGTTTGGCACGGACTTCTGGGATGCAGAGCCTACAGGGCATTTATCACAAAGCCGTACTTGCTTCACGCACAAGGTTAATTTATGCATGCTGTGTGTCTCACCACCAGGCGTATCTCCTCCCGGGGGGTCAGCCTCTCCAGTAGCTCACAGCCCAGCTGGTAGCACAGGATGCTGGATTGGCACAGGCTGCACTCAAGGGCCTTCTCATCCTTCTGGCAGGTGTGCGAGCCACCCCAGGGGGCCTGAAAGACGTTGTTGATGATGCCCACGATATCCTTCCCCAGGCTGCTGTCTAGACCCAGCATCACACCGTCATCCTGGAGCTCCATCTGCAGCCGCGGGAGGGTTGGCGGGGTGAGGAGAGAGAAAGAAAAAAACAAAACAGGAAAGTAGAGCATGACACACAATGAACAAGATCCCACCTGTGGGTATTGCTGTAAGTGTGTGTCTGTGGCTTTGTTAGTCCTAAATAAACCAAGACAAGAATACAGGTTTGTGTTTTACATAAACACTAAAAGGAGACTTATTTTAAAGCTTTTGAAAAGAATGGCAATCACCTGCTTTAATATGAGGTCAAACATGAGAATAAAGCAGCCCAGGTTCATGTCGTCATCGTCACAGTCCAGGTCCAGGGCGCAGTTCCCGGCGGCGTGACCCAGGTTCTTAAAAGGGCTGCAGCGCAGGGGGCTGCGGAAGGGGCTCCTGAACGGGCTCGGGAACGGGCTGAAGGTGTTGTGCTGCCCGCGGCGGCCCGGATCAGACACAACACTCACCTACAACAGAAGAATATGTATCCCTCCGTAAGAATCGTCCTCGTTCGTGACCCCTGCGAAGCCTTTAAAGGGATCCCTGATTAGTTGTAACATTAGACTTTACTTAATAAACATTTATTTTAATTGTAAAATAAAGACTGTAAAAATACTGTAGGATGTTTAGTTTTTATAATTTTTAAAAATATATTTTAACACGGATGGACCCATTTTATTTACACACAAAGCATTCTGGGTAAATGATGACGTGGATAGGTCCTCGGTGCGAGGCTGCTAGC